TTCCTACTTTTATGGCATCCATACTGTGCTTCTTGCAAGCTGCTGTATTCCTTCATGCAGAATGCCTTCTACCAATATGATGTTCTTTATTCAGGAAGTTCATGAATTTGCTTTGCACATGTAAGAAATAGTGAATGTAAAATCAGTGTGTTAGCTCTGAAAGATGTGTCTGGTATGCTTTAAAAAAAAAAAAATCATGTTATCCCTATTCAGTACCTGAGAAATAGCAGATTTACATGTCTTACGTTTCTGTCAGTGTTTGGGCAGTCAGATTCTTCTTCATTTAGAATGACAGTAATACAGGAAAAATAAATATTCAAACATTATAGTGTCATAAGCTTTTCTTCTTGTTCTGTTGATAGCCCAGAATCACATTGGTATGCATTGTAGCATAACTGATACAGACCTGTATAAGTATTCACCATTCTATTGACTTCATGCCTTTGAATTTATTTTCTATAGCCAAATTGTACTGCAACTGAGCGAGCCATTGCAAGACTTGCAACACATCCCATCTTGAAACCCAGATTTGTTGAACTTAAAGGTATGAAATGTTATATTATATTATATTATATTATATTAACTTGTTTATGACTTCAGTAGTTTACTGGTGTGTTACCTTGTTCCTGTACATTCCTGACATGAACAACCAGTACAAAAAGAAAAGTAAAAAACTGAAAAGCTCCTGTAATTACCTTAACTAGCTGCAGTGAACCAAGTGTCACAAGCTTGTAGTCAGTTATATTGGTTGAAATGGGCTTATACGTGATAGTATGCTATATGACATTTAAGATATAGAGTGTAAGACAAACAGGGCTCATAATGGGAACTCTAAAAATCAGATGGATATAATGGAGTATCTCTAAATTAAATAGGACTGAACTGGCAATGAGCACAATAACATGCAGATACAAAGGTAAAAGGAGCATTACAACTGGGTTTCCAAAGGCAGCTAAAAGGTTGTGCAAATAACTCCCTTAAACTTCCCTGGGGACTGTCCCCAGTATCCTTAGGGAATTTTTCCTCATTCTTTAGGTTATATCCTGTTCTCTTTAAACGCAAATTTTCTAACTAAAATTGATGTTAAAAAGGGTCAAGTCCTAGTAATAATGTCACAAAGTCACTTTGTTAATAACAGAGCATGTCAAATACCCATTTAATTATATCTGAGCAATTTACTATTTGTTTGCCATTTTTACACACAAAGTAATGCCCTAAATGAACATGATTATCAGCTGTAGATTATTTTCTGAAAGCGAAGTTCACAGTTAAATCCAAGTTTAACAGCATATTCAGTTGGTAATAATTTCTTTTCCTCACTTTTGTTGATGCTGTACTGTAAGGTATTTCTTGCCCCATGTGTTCAGTAGATGATTGGTAAGGACATTCAAAATATGCTTACTCAATACAACATATTTAACTTACAAAAATGTTTTATTGTATTAAAATAACTTACGTAAACTCATGTGTAGCTGCAACAAAAGATTTTTCTTCTGGCCCTTGTATAGCTGCTGTAACAGCTTTTAAGGATGCAAGAAAGAACCCAGACAAAGCCACTCCTTCGAAAAAGGCTAAGTCAGAAGAACAGCCTAAATCAGCGCAACATTTCAATAGTGATTTGGATGACCAAGCTCCTAAACTAGCTCAAAAACAGCAAGGAGGTGAACACGAAACAAAAATGAGTATGAAAATAGAAACTGACGGGGTGGCTGAAGAACTTTGTGAGAGTGAATCTGAGCGGAAAACTGTGGAAATGGAAAAAGCATGTGCTCCAGAAGAATCTTCATTTCAGGCAGTAGAAATGCAAGCCATCACTCAGAATAAAACAGGAAAAAAACTTGGCTATCAAAAAAGGAAAGAAAATACGAGCACGAACAAATTAAATGCAATAAAAGAAAGAAAGAATGATGATAGTGACCAGGAACATCCTAATGAAGAGGAGTACTTTGATGATAGTACTGAAGAGAGGTTTTATAACCAGTCATCAGATTCTGACAGTGACAGCAATGATGATTTCTTCATTGGCAAAGTAAAAAGAAAGAAAAAGATAGCAGCAGTTACTGATTTTTCTTCAGCAAAAGAAAAGGATAGACTTCAGAAAAACATAGTGAAGAACGAAGAGAACACAGTGCCTAGAACAGTGCAAGATTTTATCATGGAGGAAGGAAAGCCACATGCAAAAGCAAGCAAACTAGAATCAATGTTCTGCAGTTCTTTGTCTACCTCTAATCAGAAATCTCAAAACAGAAGAAGGTAAACCTTCTCCCCTTGTTATGTTCTCCATTCCCTCCCTCCTTCCCAGTAATGGAAATTGTTGTGATTTTTAGTAGCCCTTCCCAAATAAGGAGAATTTCAGCCAATTACAGCTTAGAACATTTTCACATAAGCTACTCTGCAGTCTTCTTGCGCTTTCTTGACACTTATGCATTTTTCATATTCACATTAGCACTGACATATACCTAGGATTCCTAACTAGACCTGCATCCAAATTAAATCACTACTGAATACTTCTATTTTTACTTCTTTATTAACAAAGAGGAAACAATATATAAGGGGTTTGCACATTATGCTTGAAAAGTCATTGCACGGGTGTTTTGGTGATGACAATTCTTGATTCACAGGTGTTTGTCATCTTACAAGTTTCTGGAAAAATCTTAAATTCTCTTTTTACTTTTAGAAATACTAAAGACCAGCCTCTCAAAAATGGAAGAACAGGTATGTATTACTTAACCTGTAAATAGGTAAAATTATAAGAGTAAAACGATCTTGAGATTTTGTTGCCTCTGCAGTCTAATCATGATAGGCTGTTTTTTGCTTAATTTCAATTTTGTGGCACATATTTTAACATTTGTTGTTAAAATGGTCAAATTGGTGAGCTTTCATTTTAATCTGTGGATATGGTTTGCTACTTCCAATTTTTTAATATTAGAAATACTTGAAGTAGGGTTTACACAGGAAAGTGCTTTTGCATCTGTCTTCATGTTGAGCAGTTAGTGTTACCTGTGCACAGGTAAAGATGTCAGATTATAATATTTAACAAGTCATTTATCTTGTAATTCCTTCAATATTTGATTCCATTTATAGTATATGGTTCCATTTTGGAATTCATTGGATCAAGGATATAATTTCAGTCATATTGAGTTACATTGTGTGATATCTCATTGGTTTATTGTGAAGAAAAAAGTTGAGACACTGCTGAATATTTGTCTACGCAAATTTTGAATGTGATCAGTAATAATAAATCTTAACTATCTGCGGTCTACCAAGTCACAATTTACTGGGCTGCAAGACAAGGAAATCTTGCTGTGAACATTCAGATGAATGTGTTCCCCATGGCTCATTAAGAAATTCTTGAAAATATCTGCAAACCCAAGGTAGTTTTAGCATATTTTTATGAAGGTTCGTGATGTAGTTAATGTTTTATTTTGCACTTCTTGCGCAGCTCTTCTTAAAAAGGAACCACAGCTCAAGAAGCAACCATTTGCAAAAGCTGCAGGTATTAAATGCAACAATAAGAAAGCATGTTTGGAGCAGCCTCTTCATCCATCATGGGAAGCAAGCAAGAGACGCCGGGAACAAATGTCTCAAATTACAGCATTCCAAGGGAAAAAGATTAAATTTGATGACTAGACTATATGTAAATTGACATTTTAAAAAAAGATTATTGCAGATTTGCATCCCGTGGTATTTTCTTACGAAGTAACAACTGCTGTTTGAACATTTTTGTTGTACCGTCCTTATCCTTTGCAACCTATAAAATAGCAACTGCTAGAACTTACCATCTGTTAATAATGAAGATTGCTTCATTTATTCAATGTGCTGTCTGTTGACTAATGTATGGTCATATGGTGTTGGTTCATAAGTCCCAATACGTAGTGCCACCATTTATGAAATACACTCTGACGTGAATGAATGGTTTTTAAGAACATCCTTTATGCCCTGTAGGAATAGTACAGATTCTTTGGAACTTTTTTTTGTGTAAAAATGTACTTTAAACTATATGAGGACTTGGATGTCAAAAGAGAGGGGAGAATACAAAATATTGATGTGATAATCCTAGGACTATATTATCAAATACATTTCAACTGAGAAAAGTAAGAGATTCTTAAACGTGAACAGACCTAACGAATTCATGAATGTATCGGATAGCTGGAAAAGCTAATCAGTAGTATGCATGACATGAAAATTTCTGGAAGGCAATAAAATACTGGCCTGTTAAATTGTGAACTCTGTCCTTTGATTATAC